CCTCGCGACGTGCGTTCATAATCTTTAGACGCACGAAAGCTGGCCTTGACACTGGCCATCGTCGACTAGAAGACAACCCATGGTAGCCGCAAAGCGTGAGACTGTGCAGGACTGCCGGCCTTGCCGCCGGGATGTGTCCTTGAGGCCACTGCCTCGCGACATACTTGCATTATCTGCGATTGCACGAAAACTGGCAATGACGTTGGTAGGAGTCAGCCATGCAAGCCGGACAACATGGGGTTATGCAGGACTGCCGGCGTTGCCGCCGGGCTGTGTCCTTGAGGCGAATGCCTCGCGACATGCTTAGATAAACTGTGGATGCACGCAAGCTGAAACTGAAACTGGTCGACGTCTGATAGGAGGAACCATGGCAGCAGAGTGCAAATGTGCAGGACTGCCGGCCTTGACGCCGGAATGTGTCCTTGAGGCGAATGCCTCGCGACGTGCGTTCATAATCTGTGGACGCACGAAAGCTGGCCCTGACTCTGGCCATCGACGAATAGGAGACAAGCCATGGTAACCACAAAGAGTGAGACTGCGCAGGGCTGCCTGCCTTGCCGCCGGGCAGTGTCCTTGAGGCGAATGCCTCGCGACATGCTGCATTATCTGCGATTGCACGAAAACAGGCAATGACGTTAATAGGAGACAACCATGGTAGCCAGACGAAAAGAGATTGAGCAGGGCTGCCGGCCTTGCCGCCGGGCTGTGTCCTTGAGGCGAAGGCCTCGCGACAACGACAGCTGGCACGGCCGTTGGCCACCGTCTAAGACGAGGCCATGGTAAGCGGAGAGAGTTCGATTGTGCAGGGCCGCCGGCTTTGCCGCCGGGCTGTGTCCTTGAGGCGAATGCCTCGCGACGTGCGTGCATAATCTGTGGATGCACGAGATCTGGCACTGCCCTTGGCCTTCGCCTGCGCACGAGGAGCCAAGCGTAGCATATGCCCGCGTGTGCCTTCAGACAACGAAGTAAAGATCTCGAGGTGAACGACCTCGAGGTATTGACCGCCTTCCTTGCAAGATGGGTAACGGTGATTGTGCAGGACCGCCGGCCTTTCCGCCGGGCTGTGTCCTGGAGGGCAGAACCTCCGACTGGAATGCTTCTCCGCTGGCATTGGCGCCAGGCCATGTCCTACGGACACATGCCACACGCTAGGATATGAGAATGTGCAGGACCGCCGGCATTGCCGCCGGGCTGCGTCCTGGAGGTCAGACCCTCCGACTTGTCCGAATGAAAATTGACAAAACCGGGCAGTGTCATGGAGGCGCATGCCTCCTAAGGAAGGTGTGTAGGATCGCCAGTATTGCTGGCAGGCTCCTGGAGGAGAAATCCTCCGGCGTCCTCGTTGAGACCATCTGGCGGAGCCGACAGGCAGCTGGTGTCAACCTCGCTCAGGAGGGCCATGCTTAGCCTGTCACTGGCGAAACGTGTTCCACCAGGGTGACCACCCAGGCGGGGCCTGTGGCTCTCCGACCCGAACCTGCAAGGTGGGCAATATAAGCACTGCTGGAGGAGGTCCGGTCTAGGGCGACGCATCCTCCTTGTGCTGGGAGGGCACTTGAGCGTGCCTCTTGCCACTGTCGACCCCGCTGTTCACTCCCCTGGGGGCTCGGCTGGGGTGCTCGTCGGGCGTGGGGAATCCGCGCCCTTAGTGGCGCCCCGTGCGTCCCCAGCCGACTCCCCCAGAGGAGTATAGAACAGCATTGGCACGGGGAGGAGGAGGAGGAGGAGGAGGAGGAGGAGGAGGAGGAGGAGGAGGAGGAGGAGGAGGAGGAGGAGGGGAACGGGGGAGGAGGAGGAGGGGGAGGGGCAGGGGCAGGCGGAGGAGGAGGACGAAGAGGAGGGGGAGGAGGGAGGAGGAGGAGGAGGAGGAGGAGGAGGAGGAGGAGGAGGAGGAGGAGGAGGAGGAGGAGGGGGGGAGGAGGAGGCGGAGGCGGAGGCGCAGGCGGCGGAGGAGGAGGACGATGAGGACGAGGAGAGGACGAGGGAAGGAGGAGGAGGAGGAGGAGGAGGAGGAGGAGGAGGAGCTGGAGGAGGAGGGAGGAGAAGACGGAGGAGAAGTCAGGAGGAGGAGGAGGCGGAGGAGGAGGAGCAGAGGAGGAGGTGCAAGAGGAGGTGGAGGAGGAGGAGGACGAGGACTGGACGAGGACGAGGACGACGAGGACGAGGACGAGGAGGGAGGAGTAGGAGGAGGAGAAGGAGGAGAGGAGGGGGAGAAGGAGAGGAGGAGGAGGAGGAGCAGGAGCATGAGGTGGAGGAGGATTAGGACGAGGAGGACGAGGAGGAGCAGGACCAGGACCAGGACCAGGAGGAGGACCAGGAGGAGGTCCAGGAGGAGGAGGAGGAGGACGAGGACGAGAACCTGGACGAGGACGAGGACGAGGACGAGGAGGAGGACGAGGACGAGGACGAGGACGAGGACGAGGACGAGGAGGAGGAGGAGGAGGAGGAGGAGGAGGTGGAGGTGGAGGTGCAGGTGGAGGAGGAGGAGGAGGAGGTGGAGAAAGAGGAGGAAGTGGAGGAGGAGCAGGAGGAGGAGGAGGAGGAGCAGGAGGAGCAGGAGGAGTTGTTGGAGCAGGAGGAGGAGGAGGAGGAGGAGGAGGAGGAGGAGGAGGAGGAGGGAGAGAGTGAGAGAGAGAGATAAGCAACCTATATATATATATATGTATATATAGTGATAGCGGTAAAGAGAAGCGTAACTATTAAGAGAGCAAGAGAGAGATAGTGATACATATATATATATATACACATAGAGAGAGAGGAGGAAGCGAACGATGAGGAGAGAAAGAGACATAGAACTGGACAGAGAAAGAGAAATAGCAACATACATAGAATGGGGAAGGGGCAGATACAGAGAACGAGGAAGAGGCGGAGGAGGTGGAGGAGGTGGAGGACGAGGAGGAGGTGGAGGTGGAGGACGAGGAGGAGGAGGAGGAGGAGGAGGAGGAGGAGGAGGAGGAGGAGGACAGGAGGAGGAGGAGGAGGAGGACAGTAGGAGGAGGAGGAGGAGGAGGAGGAGGAGGAGGAGGAGGAGGAGGAGGAGGAGGAGGAGGAGGGGAGAGCCGTCTGTCTGTCCGAGGGCGGGCCTGGGCCAGGGCTGGTGCTGGAGCCCGGGCCGGGGGCCCGCGCCTGGGCCCTGCAGTGGGCCGGGGCTGGGGCTGGGGCTGGGGCCGAGGCGGGGGGGATCTACCCCTACGACGACAGTGACGACGACGACGACGACGAATGGAAGAGCGTCTCACACATGCCGACAGTGCCGTTACATTCTCCAGAGCCGCAGGATCTCAGAGATTCTCGATTCGTCCTCACCCGTTAGTGGGTCCATGGAAACGACAGGGGCCGAGGCGGGGGGATCTACCCCTTAGTGGGTTCATGGAAACGACAGGGCCGTTTTTTTACCGGTTCCGTTTTGCCGTTTTTTGCCGGTTGCGACGTCGTTTTTTTTGCTGGTTCCGTCGCCGTTTTTTTTACGGATACCCGCTCCGGTCCTTTCCGGGAGCCGTTTTCGTTGCCGTTTCTGGTCGCCTTTTTTTTGCCGTCTCCATTTTCAAGGGACACTTTTTCGGAAACGGTGAAAAAACGGCCCTGCCGTTTCTGGGGCCCACTAAGATCTACCCTGCCAGAGACCACCCCCGTGTCCTCCTTCTCCACAGGGGGGACCCGCCCAGGGTGGGGGTCACGAACCCCAGGTCCCCTTTGGGACCACCCCCGGCAGGACCCCCCCGGGACCTCTCCCCGGAAGGGATCAAAGGGACGACGGGACTCCCCTTCCATTTGTTTAGGATGTTCGATGGGGGTTGGAGTGCTGGTCGGGAGCTCATGCACGTCCCCTCTCGCTCCGGGTGTTGGTTAGGAACTCCGGGGAGGAGGAGGATAGCGACGATGACAACGACAGCGACGACGACGACGACGAATGGAAGAGCGTCTCACACACGCCGACAGTGCCGGTACACTCTCCAGAGCCGCAAGATCTCAGAGATTCTCGATTCATCCTCACCCGAGTTTATCTTCGTCTTGTCTTCGTCTGCGTATAGTCAGTAATCTCGTCTATTCTCCAGCTCGGCCAATTTGTGATCAACCGAGAAACTCGACCCCGGTGGGGTTATGCGAGGCACACCCCTCCTCAGAGGTTTGCAAGGCTCCTTGAACTTCTGTTGGAGCCCGAGGTGTGGCGTCGATCCGAAACTTCGTGGTCCTTTGCTGCTTTTTGCCCACCGCCTGTCCCTGATAGAATACACACGGATTCGAAGTACCAGCGCGAATATGTTGGTTCGGTTGCAGAGGAGGGCTTAGAGTGTCCAGAATGGGATGAGAGTGTGTGTGTGTGTGTTCTGCTCTTCTTCGCTATGGCAACATATATGCTTATATGTGTCTTTCCACCTCCTTCTGGGGCCTCGCCACTCGGCAGCGCACGCTGCCCGCGCGAGCCTGCTATGCAGGCGCGAGCCCAACTTCCACTTCCATGGAGACTCATTTGCCCACAAAATTTTCCGGCGCCTTGATTTGTTTGAACGTGGGAGTTTTGACGTGTGGCGGATTATGCCGCAGCTCGTGACATTGTTTTGCAGTGCATGAGGCGTCGAACCACGTGTTGCTCACTCTTGAGGACCTCGTGCGAGGCCCGGTTGTGCTTGCAGTGAATTGTGTTTCCCGCCTGCTGGGAGATTTCTGCGCAGAGTCCGTGCCACTCCGCGCCACATCTCAGTGATTGCCTGGAAGCACCTTAGCTGCCGCTTCGTGCGCTCAGTCACATGCGCCCTGTGGCCGCCGTAAGACATCTGTCCTCCTTGCCAGCCGTCCCTCTTAGACGTGCGCCAGCAGACGGTAGAAGTCTAATTGGTGAAGGCTGCTTGGCTGAAGTGTCGCAGGCTTCTCTTCTGTCTTCGCCAGCTTCAGGGGGCAAGGCCAGATCCAGGAATGGTGAACGACGTGGGTAGGGAGGGGGTTAGGGCGGAGGAAGGAGTGATGATGCAGGTGGTTCCATCAATCAATCAGTCCGCCAGGTCAGGCTGTCTTGCCCTGATGCTGTGCTTCGAGGCACTGCTCCTGCGTTTTTGTCCATGCTCCGTAAACCGAGTATTCCCACGTGAACCTCACTCTCATCTTCCCCGTTGTCCCCTACCTGACAGCTCGTTGGCTGCTTTCGTGCTTCTCTTCCTCGTTCTGAATGCTGTGCTCTTCCCGCCCGAAGTGGCGTTATGCTGGCAGTATGAGCTCCAGCGAATGTGTTCAGTTTTTGACAGTGTTCTCGTTGCCTGTCAATGGAGGAGGCCTGGCCGCCAATCCAAAGATCCTTGCCGCCCCAGTCCAATCCTGGCACGATGTTCCCTTCGGGTGTTTCTGTCGCGCTTGTGTAGGTACATAGTTTCCAATTCATGGGGATGAGACTCGCCCTCATCTGCGGCGTCAGTTCGGAGCTCGGTTTCAGATGAGTTTGACATTTTGACTTGACTGCCTTTCTTGGGGTCTCGCGCATCCTGCTCCTCCTCCGCCATTCCCTCCATACGCCTGCCAATCCTTTAGTTCACGTTCATGTCAGAATCCAGGCTCCTGGAGCAAGTGTAGGAAAGGATGTCTGGTTGTCGAGCAAGTCGGAAGGAGTTTGTCGTTGCATCCGTTGTTCGTTCTCCCGATGGCGATCGGTTCAATGCATGAGACAGGGAGAGGAAGCAACAAAACATATCAGCTGCCGGTTTATCGATGCATTCGTCTATATTACCCACATGTTTGCGGCGAACCCCGCCGCCGCGCCTCTGCAGCAGCGCAGCAGGAAGGTGGTTGAGTTTGAGACTCGGTCTAGTTCAGTTCTCTGTCTGAATTGTCGCGGGTTTTGAACACCGTTATTGTCCGCAGTTTCGTCCCTCTTCCGTCTTTCTCGTTTCTGTTCCTCTTCTCGTTCCTTCTGTACCTCCCCCATCCCCCCTCTTGAGGGCATATTGGAGGCTTTATGGGGGCTTTTGCAGGTTTTGTCCGAGTCCTCCTGGCCTCATTGAGGACCGTCGGCCATCTCGGTTCCGTCTTGGGCGCGACGGTTGTGCAGAGCTCTGCCGCAGACGCTCGGTTCAGCAATTGAGGAGACGTCTGGGCGTGTGTTGAGGTTCCCTTGAAGCCCTCTTGGGCAGTGTTGGGGCTGTCTTCGGGCCGTCTTGGCCCGTTTTGTAGGTTTCATGGAGCTGTCCGAGTTCCTCCCGTTGCGAATTGAAACCGGAAAGCCTCGAAAGCAAGAGCAACGTAGATTTCATCAGTTGTTTTTAAAAAGTCTAGGGACACAAATCCCCAAGCGCAGTGATCACGAACTCTGCGCATTTCCGAATGTCTGGCATTCCCCGAGTATGCAAGTCGAGCATTATTTAAACTCTGAAGGCGTGCCTGACATCTTTTTCAAGTCAAGCATTTCCAGCATGACACTTGGCTTGCGGTATTTGGCGGAGTAGGTTGGTTCCGGCGCTGGTGCTCATGACTCTGTCACACAAGCCGGGATCCGAAAGTTCTTGCGCGCCACTTAGTCCAAGCTGCCATAGATTATCGAGCGGGACGCGTTCCCGCGCTAGCAGTTTTTGTTCCCCACATGCTTCGTGGGGTTATGGTTTTCTTCCCTTCCGCGTCTCACCCGCGTCTCCTCCTTCTCCTTCTCCTCCCTCTCCTTCTCGTCCCTGCCGCGCCGCACCCGCGCTCATTCACCTCACTCAGCTCAGCTCAGCACAGCACGGCACAGCACAGCTCGGCTCAGCTTAGCTGAGTGCGCAGGGGGTGGTCTCCCTATGCGTGCCAGGGTCGTCCAGGCATTGCAGGCGTGGCATTTTCTCGACACCAGAGGGGGTGCGCAGGGGGTGGTCTCCCTATGCGTGCCAGGGTCGTCCAGGCATAGCAGGCACACTGTCGCAAAGCCTAGCAGGCGTGGCAGTTTCACGACACCGTAGGGGGTGCGCAGGGGGTGGTCCCTGAGCTCGCCCGCTATCCACGACACTGTCGCAAAGCCTAGCAGGCGTGGCAGTTTCACGACACCGTAGGGGGTGCGCAGGGGGTGGTCCCTGAGCTTGCCCGCTATCCACGACACTGTCGCAAAGCCTAGCAGGCGTGGCACTTTCTCGACACCGTAGGGGGTGCGCAGGGGGTGGTCCCTGAGCGCGGCCGCTATCCACGACACTGTCGCAAAGCCTAGCAGGCGTGGCACTTTCTCGACACCAGAGGGGGTGCGCAGGGGGTGGTCCCTGAGCTCGCCGCTATCCACGACACTGCGCAAAGCCTAGCAGGCGTGGCAGTTTCTCGACACCGTAGGGGGTGCGCAGGGGGTGGTCCCTGAGCTCGCCCGCTATCCACGACACTGGCGCACAGCCTAGCAGGCGTGGCAGTTTCACGACCCCGTAGGGGGTGCGCAGGGGGCTGGTCGCCTGAGCTCGCCCGCTATCCACGACACTGTCGCAAAGCCTAGCAGGCGTGGCAGTTTCTCGACACCGTAGGGGGTGCGCAGGGGGTGGTCCCTGAGCGCGGCCGCTATCCACGACACTGTCGCAAAGCCTAGCAGGCGTGGCAGTTTCACGACACCGTAGGGGGTGCGCAGGGGGTGGTCCCTGAGCTCGCCCGCTATCCACGACACTGTCGCAAAGCCTGGCAGGCGTGGCACTTTCTCGACACCAGAAGGGGTGCGCAGGGGGTGGTCCCTGAGCTGGCCCGCTATCCACGACACTGTCGCAAAGCCTAGCAGGCGTGGCAGTTTCACGACACCGTAGGGGGTGCGCAGGGGGTGGTCCCTGAGCACGGCCGCTATCCACGTCACTGTCGCATAGTTTAGCAGGCGTGGCAATTTCTCGACACCAGAGGGGGTGCGCAGGGGGTGGCCCCTGAGCTCGCCCGCTATCCACGACACTGTCGCATAGCCTGGCAGGCGTGGCAGTTTCTCGACACCAGAGGGGGTGCGCAGGGGGCGGTCCCTGAGCGCGGCCGCTATCCACGACACTGTCTCAAAGCCTAGCTGGCGTGGCAGTTTCACGACACCAGAGGGGGTGCGCATGGGGTGGTCCCTGAGCTCGCCCGCTATCCACGACACTGGCGCAAAGCCGAGCAGGCGTGGCACTTTCTCGACACCAGAGGGGGGGCGCAGGGGGTGGTCCCTGAGCTCGCCCGCTATCCACGACACTGGCGCAAAGCCTAGCAGGCGTGGCAGTTTCACGACACCGTAGGGGGTGCGAAGGGGGTGGCCCCTGAGCTCGCCCGCTATCCACGACACTGTCGCAAAGCCTAGCAGGCGTGGCACTTTCTCGACACCAGAGGGGGTGCGCAGGGGGTGGTCCCTGAGCACGGCCGCTATCCACGTCACTGTCGCATAGTTTAGCAGGCGTGGCAGGTTCGCGAGACCGTAGGGGGTGCGCAGGGGGTGGTCCCTGAGCGCCGCCGCTATCCACGACACTGTCGCAAAGCCTACGAGGCGTGGCAGTTTCACGACACCGTAGGGGGTGCGCAGGGGGTGGTCCCTGAGCTGGCCCGCTATCCACCACATTGTCGCAAAGCCTAGCAGGCGTGGCAGTTTCACGACACCGTAGGGGGTGCGCAGGGGGTGGCCCCTGAGCTCGCCTGCTATCCACGACACTGTCGCAAAGCCTAGCAGGCGTGGCACTTTCTCGACACCAGAGGGGCGGCGCAGGGGGTGGTCCCTGAGCACGGCCGCTACCCACGAAAGCTTAGCAGGCGTGGCACTTTCTCGACACCAGAGGGGGTGCGCAGGGGGTGGTCCCTGAGCGCGGCCACTATCCACGACACTGTCGCACAGCCTAGCAGGCGTGGCACTTTCTCGACACCAGAGGGGGGGCGCAGGGGGTGGTCCCTGAGCTGGCCCGCTATCCACGACACTGTCTCAAAGCCTAGCAGGCGTGGCAGTTTCACGACACCGCAGGGGGTGCGCAGGGGGTGGTCCCTGAGCTCGCCCGCTGTCCACGACACTGTCGCAAAGCGTAGCAGGCGTGTTAGTTTCACGACACCGTAGGGGGTGCGCAAGGGGGTGGTCCCTGAGCGCGGCCGCTATCCACGACACTGTCGCAAAGCCTAGCAGGCGTGGCAGTTTCACGACACCGCAGGGGGTGCGCAGGGGGTGGTCCCTGAGCGCGGCCGCTATCCACGTCACTGTCGCAAAGTTTAGCAGGCGTGGCAGTTTCGCGAGACTACAGGGCCAGCGCAGGGGGTGGTCTCGTGCTGCAGTGATTATTTCCCCACATGCTTCGTGGGGTTCTGGTTTTCTTCCCTTCCGCGTCTCGCCCGCGTCTCCTCCTTCTCCTTCTCCTCCCTCTCCTTCTCTTCCCTGCCGCGCCGCACCCGCACTCATTCACCTCACTCAGCTCAGCACAGCACGGCACAGCACAGCTCGGCTCAGCTTAGCTGAGTGCGCAGGGGGTGGTCCCCCTATGCGTGCCAGGGTCGTCCAGGCATAGCGGGCGTGGCATTTCCTCGACACCAGGGGGCGTGCGCAGGGGGTGGTCCCCCTATGCGTGCCAGGGTCGTCCAGGCATAGCAGGCGTGGCATTTCCTCGACACCAGAGGGGGTTGCGCAGGGGGTGGTCTCCCTTCGCTGCCCTTCGCGGCCCCGTTGCACCCCTGAGAGTTGGCCTTTCTGGACCTCGGGAGGGTGCAGAGATCTGCGGGCTGGGAGCGCCGCCGCTGCCTCGGAGCCCTGGTCCTCCGATGATCTCTCGGGCTCTCGGCGCCCTTCGGGCCCGACGCCAGGGCTCTTTCAGGACCTCGGCCCCCAGCGGCCCCCCAGACGTCGGGCGCGCCGAAAAGCTCGAGCGACGGAGGCGACCTTCGTCATCCTCGGCCTCTCGGGGCCCTCGCTCGGCCTCGGGACCGTCACAAAACGACTCGGGCCGAAAAGGACCGGTCCCGGGGAAGCGGGCGTTCCGACCCCCGTCGCGGCGCAACGACGAGGCAAGGTTGACCCCCGTCGGAGGGGTACCCCCCCACGCTTATTCGGAAACCCAGAGTAGGCGGAGCATGCACTGTCAGAAGAGGGTTCGACCTTGCGCCATGGTTGGCGCTTGGCCCCAGACGCTCTTAAAGCCGCCGCCAACAGGTCGAACGATGCAGACGCTTGATCCACAGCGTTAAAGGAACGACAGCGGAACTGTGAACAAAGGGCACGCCCGTGAGAGTGTCAGAGGAGGATGAGGCTTGTTCTTGTTTTAGGACGTCGGGCTCGTTCTTTGTCGGTTTGGGTGCGACCGAGCTACTCCGATGAGATATCGAGGGAGGAGAAGGTTGCTCTGGAACCAATTCCGTGTCGCCCATAAAGTGAGCGGCCTCCATTTCGACCTGAATCTCCAGATCGTCTGCAATCGGGATTTCCGCTTGGTCCGACGGCGAAGAGGAATGGCGGAGCAATCTCCGACAACGATCTAATTCAGGGTGAACCTGGGATTTTCCGACTTCGTTAGGAGGAGAACGAAGCAACGTTTGGTCCAATCTCAGAAGCATCACTCACACGTGCATTAAATTTGAGGGGGGATTTTGTTTTCGGTCGGGGCGGAGGAAATCTAACAATCCAAGGACGACTCTCTGATAGGGAGGGCAAAG